GGGGGGGGCTTTTGCATCTATTTTCAGCAGTTCTCCCTCCTGGTGTTTAAATGTGTGGCTCTCCCCTTTGAAGTCCTGCAGAGCAAAAGCATCAGCAGGCGGTCTTTAAATTGCTGCAGCTTCCAAGGAATCTGCAGTCAGTTTGCTAGCACACAGTTTGTCTCCCCTGCTGAAGGGGCCTGACAGAGATTGGGCTTTATAACAGGGACAAGATAATGATCAAAGGGAAATTTAGAGAGAGGGCTAAGGAAAATCTTCTGTGATTGATCTGGATGTGGGGAAAGAGAAAGCTGCTGGGCTCTTAGCTGTAGATTTGGGATTCTGCCAAGAGTCAACTCTGGGAGCTGTCCCAAGACACAGGCTCGGGGACCTGAATGATGAAATCTAAACAGACACGCATCAGAAGCTGAGGGTCCCTTAGACTTGCCTTGACTGTACACTGCATGCCCTACAAGCTCAAAGGCAAATTTCAACGCTCTCAGCTTGAAGACAGGCCTAAGAGCAGTTCTTAAATACTGCTTTAAATTTATGTTAAAGTGCTAACTTAGAAAGCCCATGCATCAGTGAGCTGACGTCCATGCAGCTAACCCGGCACAGTCTCTCCCTGAATTCATAATGAAAGTTTGGTATTAAATTGATTATCATTTTTAATTTCATTGGCATTAGTGGATTTATATTTGGCCCACCTACATGCTCCCAAAACACAAATCTAATACATTTTTCTTGCTTCAAGTGTCTCTATCTCTATATTATTCCTAGCAAGGACAAACACATGATTTTCAGTGTTGATGACATCACCATTAGCACCTATCTATGTTTGAATTCTGACAGAGTTGTTGGTGAAAAGCATCAGAAATTGGTGAGACCCAGTTGAAACAGAAATTGCTGTATGAGGCAGCAGTGTGGCGGCTACAAGGGGCACACCATCATGAACACTTGGTCCCAGGGAAAGATGACAAGCACTTATGACTCTGCCTATTGATTTTTTCCTCTGGGCCCAAAGCAAATCCCAGGGAGCTACTGGAGTTGTTTTGGCAGTTGATGGACTAAGTGAAGTCCTGAGCCAAGGATGGATACATACCACAGCTTCTTGTTTCTCAAGTAAATCTCTGAGGAATATTCCAGAAATCATTAATATTCCCTCAACATTAGCCTTTTTATTTGTTCACTTTCTAGTGGCTTTTGTTATTTTGGGGACTCACTTTTCTACTCCTAAACTGTCTCTGATCGGGATCACTTCCTCCCATACCCTGTCTCAAGATACATGCCTGGGAAATCTGGCCTGGGGAGATAGTGGTTATTTAACAGGACATTTGGGGTTAGGAAATAAGTCAAAGGGGCTGGGATGTAATTTATAGAGTGACTACTTATCATGGGTTAGGACTGGGGTTTAATCCTCAGCTTAGAGAGAAAAAGGAACATAGAAAGAGTGGGCGTGGAGTGGGTGAGAGAGATGGGGGAGACAAAATGGGAAGAAGAGAGGGAAGAGGACAAGGAAGGAAGAAATAAAGAAAAAAAAAGCAAGGAGAAATTGTAAGAAAGAGATTTGGCATGACAAAACCCACTGATAAGGTGACTCTAGTGACTATGACGTGAAAATACTAAAATTTCCCACCACTGTATTGTATTTACCCTGCCATTTGACATCAGTATATCCTGCAATTATTCCTGTTCCCACAGTCCTGTAGCAGGGTACTCTCATGTCCTATCTCTTATAGTTATTTGGCTCAAAATAAAAATTCTTGGCAGATGCATTTTAGGAATGAGAATAAAACACATATCACAGCTTTGATACTAGGAATATAGAAAAAATAAAGATCTTTAGATTTTTATCATTTACACTGAAAGGGATTTGGCCTCTTATCAAGAGTTATAAAGTAAGGGAATCCCAAACACAGAATGAGTTATTGTTGCCATGCACAGTTCTTTATTCACACTAAATGAAATTTTCTTTTGCTTGTATCCCACATATTCTATCATGACATTCTGACCTAGTAGCTATTTCTCCCTCTGCTTTGAATATTCATTCTACCTCCCTTCTTCCTTCTTTCCTTTCCTCTCCTTATCTGCCTCCCTTCCTTCCTTCCTTCCTTTCATAAAAATGTTTTGTTCATACTTACAGTGCCAAATATATGTTAACTTACCTGGGTACCAAAGCAGTATGGCGCCTGCTTATCCTGCACTCTCTTTGTATCCCTGGCCCATCCCAGCCAAGGGGTTTATTGTGAAGTATTGCAGTGGGATGTACATTTTTCTTCCTAACCACAGGGCTTCTTGCAGATGGATATTATTACCTGGCTAGTTCCTTAGTATCTGATGTAATATAAATGGCCTAGAGAGAGTTCTCGAGTCTTTGCCTAAAAAGAAAAAGGTGGTCTGCTGAACAAATAAATTCCTCCACTTCAGGTTATGCCCATCAATGGTAGAGTGGCAAGACCTCAAGAAATCTTTTCCATGAGAGAAAACTAAAATTTACTCTCTTTCTTAAAAGAATAGATAGCTCCAGGAGCTTAGTAAATTCCAAAGACTATGTATTAACAGAACTCGATGGATCCAACTTCAGCTTTTTAAAGGTATTGCACTGAGGCCTATTCTTTCATCTAAGTGTTCAACGAGTGTGAATTACTCCAATCCATCATGATGAGAGTGGGATGGGGCTCCATTCTTAGAGTAAATGCCTAGAGGCATTTTTACAGGCCTGTGCAGCCATGTGCATGTGCCCTACTCTACATGGTATAAAGCAGGGTGAACTACTGAAGAGTGGGGAATAAACCTATGTTGTGGGAGTACAGAAGGAGGAGACTCTAATTTCTATTCTAGAGCTTCTGATATTTCCAGGCACCTTAATAAAGAAAGGTAACCAGTGAGAAAGGTTAAATACCAACAAAATAGGAGACATGAGCATTCAAGAGTGATCTAGGGAACTTCATGCTTTCTTGATTGTGGGGGCCTAGAATGTGGAGTCTTAGTGGATAGAGGTAAAGCTAGGGCTAAGGCTAGGGTAGAATTATGTTATTCTTCAATCTATCATGAAGAATTTGGATTTTTATCACTGATGTGAAATAGGGAGCCACTGATAATTTTAGGTAAGGGACTATAGAGAAAGAATAATAATTTTCTTTCATCATGCCTTGCAGTTACAGCAAAAGGCAGATTAACAAGAAAAAAAGCAAACAAAAGGAAGCCTTATACATTTCTGCAAGAAAACCCAGAGAATGTAGCAAGAGTCTATACAGTACATCTCAAGGAAAACATTGACATTTCAGGCTTAACTGCTATTGTTTTCTGAAAAAAAAAAAAAGAGGATGAGGGAAAAAATTATTTTAATCTAAGATGAATAGGAAAGCATCCCCCCAAATTGTTAGCTTTACTCTGCAGATCCAACTCCATGCCTTTTCTAAGTTGACATTCTCTAGTGATTTATTTAGTGGATCTTTTTCTTTGTAAGAGGAAGACTCTTACAAAGGCAATTTCCTAAATAGTTGTGGTTCTTCTTATAAAACAGCACCTACTTTTATAAGAACTATTCTCATGTCTACAGTTTTTCAAAATAACAAACTCAAAATAACCCTTATGCTAAAGAGGCATATTTTGCAGTCCATATTCTGGCCTGCTCTAGTCATAGTTTGGGTCCTTGTGGTCTGAGTTTCATTAGGAACGAAATGACCACTCCATCCATCTGACATTTTGGACTGCTTGGAGCATGGGTTTAAGTACAGTATAAAAATAGTCCATTTGTGTCATACTTTCTTCACGTGTAAAATCAGGATAAATGGGGCTTTTAATTAAGCATCGTAGGCACATGTTTAGAATTTTAGCAGCTGGGAGATAAAGGCAAGAGCATCATGAGTTTAAGTATGTAAGTATAGCCTCTGCTGCATGGGGAATTTGAGACCAAAATGTGTACTGTAAGACTATAAAAAGAAAAAAAAGAAAGAACAAAAGAGAATTCAATGGGATAAATCAGCCAAAATTTCACAGAATGCATAGTATTCACAGAATATATAGTAATACATTCTGTCATGGTGGTTGCTATTTCTGCAATTATTATGATTTATTTTAGAACAATTGCTGACAGTAAAGACCATGAATTAGAGGCCAGATAGAGATGGGAAGGTAAACTTGATGAGGGTGTATATGTATAGATCATGGAAATGACCAAGACTTTGGTAATGCTCTGGCAGTTGGATTCAAGGAATA